TAATAATAATAATAATAATAATAATAATAATAATAATAATAATAATAATAATAATAATAATAATAATAATAATACACTTAAGAGACCAAGTTTACAAAATCATCGAAAAGCTTCATTGATAATAATTGATCCGAGTGGTTCTGGCATACAAACAACCAATCAAGTTCTTTTTGAAGAATTACCTGAGAGAGCTATTGCAAATGAATTAACCTTTCAAGAATTTCAAATATTCAAAAAAATTATTGTAATTATTATAAATTATAAAATTTTTATTTTTATTCAAATGAAAAATTTATTTATTAATCTAAAAAAATCTTAAATAGCCACGTGATCTATTAAGACATATATGGACACCACAAGGTAGTTCTCATCGTGAAAACGGACGAGTAGCAAAATCTATTAAACATTTCAACTTTATTTCAAATTGGTAAATTTTCTAAATTAAAATAAAAATAAAAATTATTATCATCATTATTAATGATCTATGTGTGTAGGGTATCCAAAATGATATTATCACAGGAGAAATTAAAAAATCGAGCAGCAATGATGAAAAAGTTTATGAAAATTGCAATTGTAAGTATATTTATGTATTTGTTTCTTGATTAATTGATAATAGATAAATGACCATTAGTTTGAATAAATTAGCTTGTTCGTGAATCCAACAACTACAATACTTTGATGGCAATAATAGCTGCCTTAAATTCAGCACCAATTTCACGTCTTCGTAGAACGCGCGATTTAATCAAAAATAAATCCTGTTTTAAGAAATTTCTTAATTTAGTGGCGCTGATGTCTACTGAAAAATCATTTAATAATTATCGTGCAGCATTAAAATCTCAATCATCTCGTGCTCACGATGAACAAATAGGAATACCATATCTGTAAGTAACTATTAATTAAATCAATAGATATTACTTTACTTGTATGCATCATGACTTTTAATTAATTATATTATAACATATCATATGATTTGAAATGGATTAATAGTGGTATTCATTTACAAGATTTATTATCAATAGGAGAAGGTAATAAAAATTATCAAGATGATGGTAAAATTCATTGGAATAAATTCTCATTGATGGGTGATATTATCATCATGATGCGTAAATTTCAAAAGTCGTAAGTTTTTTGATTTTTGGTTTTAAATTTTGTTAAAAAATATATTTTATAAGTACATATTCACATATTTAAATGTCAAACATTGATAGATCTTATAATCTTAAAAGTAACAAATTTATTGAATACTTTATTAACGACATGCCAATGTTGAGTGATGATGTAAATATTGATTCTTTGTTTTTGTAATCCAGCTTTTTTCTTTTTTTTTGTTTAAAAAAAATCTAAAATAACTATCCTATTTATCTTATTGTTTCGTAGGATTTATATAACAAGTCATTGGAACTTGAACCAAGGATTCGAAGATCAGCTAGTACAAGTAGAGTTCATCATTAATAATATATACGTATAATTGATTTATGTTTTGGCAAAAAGAAGGATTTAATTCATTAAATATACTCATATTCACACACACATATAAGATGTAAAAAACTAATTCTTTTTTGTACATATGTAATCATTCAATTTTGTTTATATATATATAAATTCTTAAAAAATATATAATATGCCTGTGAATTATATACTGATTTGTAACATTCAGTAATATTAATATATACTGTATGTACACAGTGAATCTCCAAAAAATTCATCCACTAAACGAGATGCAAGATATTAATATAGTGCAAGTCACCTAGTCCCCCAACTTTTTATTGATCATGTAGATCCTTCAAATCCTCCAAAAATGGAAATGCAACATCCCAAAATAAATTGTTTTTGAAGCCAAGACCTTCCTCTACATAGTTACGATTTCATCTCGTTGATATCTCATGTTATTGTGGAGGATTTGAGCTTCAAAGTTGCACAAGTTTACCGAATTTACCAGTCGCAGGACATTGCAGATCAAATGTCATCCATTATAACCGTTACATGAATAAAATTTTTGTCGTCCACTTCAAAAAAAAAAATCGTTATTTTTCTTTTAACAAGTGACTTTTTCAATCATAATAGTCGCGGGACATTGCAGATCAAGTGTCATTCAATATAAACGTTACACAATTAAAATTATAAAAAAAAAATATCCGTTTTTCATAGAGCAAGCGATTTCCAACCATAATAAAAATTTTAGCTTAAATATTGGTTATTCTATGCTAGGTCAGAAGCGTTTCTTTTCTTCACACTTATTTTAAGATTTTCTTCCA